TTTTTTTTTTTTTTTTTTTTTTTTTCTGGTACCAGGGATGGAACTCAGGACCTTGTGCTTGCAAGGCACGTGCAGTGCCACTGAGCTAAATCCCCAGCCCAGAAATAATTTTTTGGGTTGGAAGAGTTAGAGTAAAGAAGCAGCAAGAATTATGAAATACGGAGGGGAAAACGAAGACACCCGAAATATGTGGCCCTTTGCCTCTTTAGGGATTCAAGCTTCAGCTTCCTTATTTCATTAGCCTATGAGCATTTTTGTTATCATTCCTTTTGTTCCTTTTAATTTTCTGTCCGTATTTACCTTCTCTTCCCCTCTCCACACCGCTGTGCATGTGTGTACACACACACAGATTGAGGCAGAATGGATCTGGGCCCATTCCCTTCTAGGTACTCGAGGTTTTGGTGCTTTTGACCAATGGAATCCAGCCCTTGACCTGGATTCTTCAGTACAACAGGTCCGAGTAACTGTGTGACTCTCTTGAGTTCTGACTTTAGGGCAAGCAGGCAGATATGATCGACCACTTACGAGCTCTGTTTTCTAGTGCTGCATTGGACGTGGAGTTATCCGATGACTCCTTCCCACCAGAAGACTTTGGCATCGTCTCCGGTATGCTCAATGTCAAGTGGGACCGGATTGCCCCGTATCCTTTGGGCCCTGCCTGTCAAAGCTGGGGAGGGGACATTGCCTACAAGAAGCACGGGTACCAGCCTAAGCGCACCTGGCTATCCTGAGGCAAGAGGGACTGCTGCACAAGTGCAAGCATGGTTTAGGGCAGACCCGAAAGAGATTTGTGAAGTTCGTCGTGAGGCCTTGAGACATATTGTGGGGAAGTGGACTCTTCTGGAGGTCTATTAAGCTGTTTGAAGCTCAGTGGTAAAGCACTTACCTAGCACACACAAGGCCCTGGGTTCAGTCCCCAGTTCAGGGAGAGAGAAAGATGTATGGCCAGGCATGGATGTTGGGACCCAGGTCTTTGTGCATGCTAGGCAAATACTCTACCACTGAGCTACATCCTCAGCCCCAAGAGGCTTCTAAACAAATTCAGTGGAAATCTGTCAGGGTGGCTCTTATCCAGCAAGTCTCTTTTATAATCTAGCAGTTATTTCATAGTGAATTAGATGCTTCTTTTAGTGTACTTCCTTTTTTCCTCTTGTGAATTAAAGTGTATTTACTTGGGTCTGCTGATGCATGCCTATAATCCCACCACTTGGAAGGCTGAGGCATGAGGATTTCTAGTTTGATGCCAGCCTAGGTTACACAGCAAGACCTTGTGGGTCACCACTCAAATACAGCTGAATGGCGTATTACCACACACTTTAGATTTTTTGTATTTATTTGTTTGTTTATTTTTTGAGGCAGGGTCTCACTACGTAGCCCAGGCTGGCCTTGGAACTCATAGTGATCCTCCTGCCTCAGCCTCCCCAGTACTGGGATTACAGGCATGCACCATCATGCCAGGCACTTTCAAGTTTTTAAAATCTATTTTTTTCATTCCTGTAGAATATCATAGTGATGAAATCACCACATATGTTGGCAACCATTTTGGAAATGGTACATTTAGTTCACAAGATGAAAGATTGTTAACGCTGTAGCTCCATTGTTTTCCCTTCCTTAACTTGGGCCAGCGCTAGCAATGTGTCCCACACCGTGGTCCTGCGCCCGCTCAAAGCTGGTTACTTTAACTTCACCTCAGCAACCATCACCTACCTGGCCCAAGAGGATGGCCCTGTCGTGGTGAGTTACCAAGCCCTGAGCTGTGTCTTTCCTTAAAAACCTGCGGAAAGTGGCCCGGGATTTAGCTCAGTGGTTCTGGCGCCTGCTTTGCAAGCGCGGGACCTGAGTTCGATCCCTGGTACAAAAAGAAAAATTAAAAAAAACCCGCAGAAAGTGTGTGCAGAGGCCGCTGGGTGCCAAAGGCCGGGATTGGTGGGAGCTTGGGCGGCCCTCAGGGAGCGTGCTTCTGAGTGGATGCCGGGGGTGGGGCCGAGGGACGGCACCCTGACTGGCCTCTCCGCCATCTGCTTTCCCTGGCGTCTGGACGTGCTGGCCGCTTCCTGCTCACCGCTGCCCTTGCCCTTCAGTCCTTTCTGAGGCACCGCCTGACTATTCCTGGCTGCCCGGCCCTGCTTCCCCTTCCTGGCTGGCCTGCTTCTGCCCTCGAGGCTGAGCCGTTGGGCCCCTCGTGCTCCCCTCCAGCCACCCAGCTGTCCTCGGCCTCTGGTGTCCCCCGTCCCACCACACAGACCCCGGCCTGCGAGGCAGCTCTTGTCTGCACCCCACCCGTCCCTGGGCACCTCCCCTGTTCTCCTGGCCTCATCCTGTCTGAAGCTCGCTCTCCTCCACCTCAGTATCTGAGGCCTGAGAAGCAGCTCTGAGCAGCATCTCGTCTTGTCTCCCGCATGTCACGCTGCCCTCCTGCGCATTCCTCCTGTCGGTGTCACCAGCCGCACGCAACCCTCCGGTAGCAGTAGTCTGTTATTTCTGTCTTCAGTGGTTTCTTTCTTATGTGTGAGTCTCCCTCCTCCTCCTCTTCCCCTCCTTTCCCACTTAACTATAAACTACTCCTGGGCCAGGGATTTAGTTCAGTGGCACCACATCTGCCTCGCAAGCACAAGCTCCTCAGTTCAATCCCCAGTACCAAATAAATAAATAAACTATAAACTGCTCGAGGCCAGGAACTTTACTTCTCCTGCTAAAGGAAACAGTCTATTGATTGAGCCCTTGCAACTCTGGGAAAGAACCAGGAAGACTGACACAGTCCAGCCCTCAGAAGCTTAGGTCAGGAAGCTGGGTGGGTGGTACCTGCCTTAATCCCAGTTACTTGGGAGGCTGAGGAAGGATTGCAAGTTGGAGACCAACTTGAGCAACTTAGCAAGATCCTGTTTCAAAATAAAACTTAACAAAAGGGCCCCGGATGCAGCTCATCCCTGGAGTGCTTGCTGGCGTGCGCAGGGCTCAGTCCCCGGTACTGCAGAGAGGAGGGAAGCTTAGGTCTTCATTGCCGAAGCTACATGCACGGTCCTCTATGCTGTATACTATACAAGTAAGCTGTAAAGGGGCCGGGATTTGGCTCAGTGTTTCTGCCGCCTGCCTCACAAGCACACGGGCCCAAGTTCTATCCCTGGTATCCACCCCCCAGCAAAACAAAAGAGCTGTAGGCTCAGTGAATTCACAGCAGGAAGGTGACTTGACAGACGTCTGTAGAACTCAGAAATCTAATATTCAGCCAGGTGCAGTGACATGTGCCTGTAACCCTATCACGCAGGAGGCTCAGGCAGGAGGATCTTGAGTTTGAGGCCAGCCTGAGCTATATGTTACAACTCTTGTCTCAAAAAATACAGTTAAACAAAATTCCTTAATACTCGATGTACTTTCTAAAATTCCTTTCTTATAAACCATGTGGAATACATAATCCTAGCTGTGTTTTCACATCGGTGCCAGTTCTGCTTTCAGAACAAGCCTCAAGACTGCTTCCTCCTGGTGCCGGGCGGGTTAAGAGACGCAGAGTCTGAGAATGCCGTTTGCAGTGTACTCGGACACCTGGCTGCCTCTCAGAGCGGAGGAATGTGGCCCTGGCTGGGCCCCTCAGTGCTGCGTCTGGGTGGGGCGGCACCCTCCGGAAGCCTCCTCTTTATTCACTTGTGCCTCTCCTCAGCCTGTGAAGGAGGAGGAGTTTTCACTTGGGGAGTGAGTCTGCCTGCCCATGGCCTGCGCAGGGCGGTAGGGTGAGGCCATGGCAGGAGGGACTGGCCTTCACCTCAGTTGCACAGCTGGTGGGCTACTTAATAAAATCTCAGGCCTCCTGGGTCCTCATTTTCCCTTCCCAAGCACGAAGAGAACCATCCAGCTCTCTAATTCAGAAACTTTTCCTCCTGTTTCTCCCAGTGTGGGGGATAGAACTGGACCTCATAGCAGCTAGGCGAGCGCTGTACCTCAGGCCCTACCCCTTGGCCCTTCCTCATCTTCCTGAAGTGGTCTGGCTCTCTGGGCACTAAGAATCTGGTGACTAGAGTTGGTGGCTCAGCTGCCTGCCCCCAGCCGAGGCAAGTCGAAGGCTTGCCTTGATGTCCTTTTCTTCTTTCAGGTTGGCTCCACCAGCGCACCTGGACAGGGCGGGATCCTGGCCCAGCGGGAGTTTGATAGGAGATTCTCCCCGCACTTTGTAAGCTTTCTGGTCTCCTCTTGTCATCTCCGTGGTGTGTGAATGCCAGCTGGTTCTGGAAGCCCTGGCCTCTCTGGCTGGTTTTTCTTGGTGTCTGACAGAGACAGCCATGAGACACCCCAGCTTATCCGTGCGGAGACTGTCAGTGAGACACAGTTGGCCTTTTCTCAGCCTTGAGGAGAGCCCCATTTTAGAGGCATGGGCTGTTTTCAGATATAAAATCTGGTTTGCTCCAAAGGGTCATGGAACATTAGGAAGGCGAAGTGGGAACTTTTTCGTGGTTTAGTGTAGGAATTTTGTGAAGACTGAAATACTGAATGAAGGAATTCATTAATCCATACGGTTTCTAATTATATACTCTTTCTGAACTTTGCTCTGGGAAAACAGTGGTCAACATGTCGCAGTCCCTTGCATTAAGATTGTGTAGCCTCAGAAGACTCAACACACAAATGAGCTGGACGAGGTGGCGCGTTTTTGTAATCCTGGCACTCTGGGAGGCTGAGGCAGGATTGCAAGTTCGAGCCCAGCCTGGGTAATTTAGCAATTTAGCGAGATTGTTCAAAATAAAAAAGGGATGGGGATGTAGCTCAGTGTGGAGGCCCTGGGTTCAATCCCTAGTATTGCAAAAACAAAAGCAGTAAATGGGGAAGATGCTCTGGCAAGGTTGTGCACCTGTGCTGAATGAGCAAGAGTGGAGGTTGCCCCAGGCCCACCACCCTCGAGGGGCAGACCGTTTCCCCTGTCAGGAGGCCAGAGCACTGTCCTAGAAGAGGGAGCCACTCAGACGTGACAGTATGGCGTGATCCGGGAGTGGCAAGTCGTTCACGGCGTTGGAAGGGAGCAGGGAGGTGGACTGGAGGGGAGGCCCGACTGCTAGGGGCAGAACCTGGGCATCTCCATTTCTACCTCGCCTGGAAGCCGGCTGGGCGGGTCAGCCGCAGCCCAGCTTCACAGCCGGGGAGGCCACATTCTGCGGGCAGAGGAGCTTTCCTGCCGGTGTGCTGCCTGAGGGTGGGCAAGACCGCACCCTTGTGTGTTGGCCTATTCCTTCCCCATCTTCTCCTGACCCTCATCCTCCGTTTTCCTCCGCAGCTGGACTGGGCAGCCTTTGGAGTCATGACCCTGCCCTCCATCGGCATCCCCCTGCTCTTGTGGTACTCCAGCAAGAGGAAGTACGACTCACCCAAGCCCAAGAAGAACTGAGCGGGGCTCCGCGCCCCTTCCCACGAAACCAGGTGCTCTCAGACTCCAGAGGGCCTCTCAGATGTGTCTCTTCGTCCTTAGCCCTTGGCCACCTTCTGGATCCTGCTCTCGGCCAGAGTGAAGGACCAGACCCGGGAGTCTTCGGGAGCCTCCTTGGTTCCACTGCAAAGCCAAACAAACGGATGCGTTGGGCCGCAGGCTGTAGCCCAGGGGCCCTTGGCCCCGCTGAGGTGCTGCTGGTGTATTGCTGGCAGTGTGGGCCCTGGGGCTCCAGGAGGGGCCTTTGGGGCACCTGAGCCCTCCCCAATCTGCCCTCCCCTGTCAGAAAGCTGTGGAACTCTTGGAGGCCGCCCCGTCTGTGCCTGGGTAGGGCCATGCTTACCAAATGGGGTTTTCTAATAAAAACAAATACCGCGCTGGCTGGCCTGTCTTCCTGTCAGCCGGAGCTTGGCCCTGGCGCTGCTCTGGGCAAGCAAGCTGAGTTATTGCCTTGCCACGCGGCCGTGGGTGGCTCTGTCCCTCGTGAGCCTGTGCTGCTGTCCGACCGCCTCCCTCTGTTCGCACGTGTGGGTCATGATGTGTCCCCTGTACCTCCCTGCCCGCCAGCTCTCTGCTGAAGAAGGTCCTCGGCCCTCTGATCCAGCTACTGCGTCAAGAAGCTGCACTCCCGCCTGAGTCCAGCCGCTTTCCTGTTTGGAACTAGCTTGAATGTGTTTGTGTCTGATGCCTCCTGCTCTGAGCCCAGGCCAGGAAGAATTTCTGGGTCCCCTGCCCTGGGCCCTGACTGCTGTGGAAAGGCAGAGTGGGAAAAGCCCGCGTGAGCCGACTCTGTCCAGCCCAGGAATGCCGTGGTCAGAACGGCCTCCCAGGCAGGAGGGAAGCCCAACAAGCAGGCTTTGTTCCCTGCCTGCCAGACCGACCGACAGAGCAATTTAACTTTTCCTTTGACCAGCAGTGGGAGCTGCTGGGCCCCAAGATGAAAAGGACATGGAGGCAGCGGGAGGCTCCAAATGGAGTTGCCCTCCACCAGCTCAGCACCCTCCTTCAGGGGCTGCACCTCGGACACCCCAGGACGGGCCAGGTCAGAGGGCAGGAAAGACAGGCGCTTGTGCTCGCGCTCCGGTGGAGGCCTGGAAGTGTGTGGTAGACGGGAGAGCAGGGCAGCGGGTCAGAGGCCGGGCTGGGACTCGAGGAGGGGACACGGCCATCTGTGGAGCTGCCCTGGAGGTAGAATGAGTTACCTGAAGGAGGGTTCTGTGCAGAGCAGGGGTGCACCTCCAGACTCCTGGACTGCACACCCAGGTACTGCTCTTCCGGAAGCCTGGGAGGCTCGTCCCTGCCGCACCTCACAAGACATGGCGCTTTGGGCCTGGCGCTTGTTAGGGGAAGATGAGGGGAACCCAGGAGCCTTCAGGTGACAAGAGAAGCATTGTGAAGGCTGTGGTGTCAGGGCACCTTGAAAAGGGGCCAAAGCCAGATACTTCATCTCGAGAGATCAGCTTCCCTGGAGTCGGGATGGAATTTGAACCTCCCTGAGTGGTGCTGGAGGAGAATATAAGGACCTCTAAAATCTATAGACACAGGTGACAGGAGTGGCTGGCACTGGGGCTGAGCCCTCTTAACTTCACGGCAGAGGTGGTTGGGCAGGGCCGGCTCCCCGCTCTTGCCTGGAAACCGCCTCAGGAGTGTGAGCTTGACTTTGGGGTCGCCTGCAGCTCAGGGGAAAGGGCAAGTAGGTGCAGACCCCCTGCCTTCCTGCGATCGTGCCCAGAAGGCTCCTGCCAAGCCGGCTGCCGGGGCTGCTCTGCCCACAGCCATCCCGTGAGGCCCAGACTCCCCTGGCATCTGACCATCCACACACCTAGCCCGGTGCCAGGAGGAACCGGCCACCCTGTACCAGGCCCTCAGACTCCACCTGAAGAGACAGGTGTGTTTCCACCCTCTGCCCACCTTGGCACTCTGGCTATGTGACCTCATGACTGCCGCCCAGTGGGCCGCCTGTTTTACCCCCTGGGCAGTCCCAACAGGATTTCTGAGGGCCCTCACTTGCAAGATGGGACAGGTATTTCTTTGTCTTCTGAGACAAGGTCTCACTATGTAGCCCAGGCTGGCCTCCAACTCACAGTGATCCTCCTGCCTCAGCCTCCTGAGTGCTAGGATTATAGCCCTGCATCACCATGCACAGGGCCTGGTCTTGCCTGTGTTATGCAGCCCAAAACAGCCAGTGTCACTTTCAGCCAGGGCTGTCTTCTTTCCCTCACTCACAGCAGGGATTCATGATGGAGCACCTGATTTAATCCCTTCACTGGCAGATCAAGAGCAGTGAAGTGAAGCGGCTGTCCAGGTGGTGGCCAGCACAGTTATTAGCCACTTTACACCCAGTGTCCGAGTTTCCTCACAGCACCTATGCGTTTCTAGCTGAGGTCCCCATTTCACGCACGAGGGAATGAAGGAAGCTCCTGGGTAGCTGGACTTCCCTAATCTGAGTTGGCAGAGCCAGCCATGGCTCCTCCGCTCCAGAAAGACTTTCTCTGAGACCTCAGGGCCCACCAGAGGGTGATGCCCGTCACCTCCTCCCCAGGGGAAGAAGTAGGGTGAGTCAGCCACACACGCCCCTCAAACTGTTATCGGAGAGGGTGGAGGGGCCGCTCAAACATCCTGTCGCCTGGTATCCACAACAAGCCATGCGTGTGTCCTGTGTGTGCCCAGTTGCCTGGTCACCCTGTTCCTGTTGGCTAAAGCTAGTGCCCTCCTCCTATGGAGCTGCTCCTCCCTGTGCTCTCCTGCAGAAAACACAGTATTTCCTCCTCAGTGCTGTAACCTGCCCCTTAAAGGGACCCGCCCCGCAGGTCTGAAGCCCAGTCTGACAGAAGGGGAGGACCCTGCCCATCTCATAAGCACCTTGCTGTTCAGCAGCTCCCGGGGTGGCTCCAGCCCAGTGATGCCCTTTCTTCCACCTTGGGTTTCTTCCTGTCCCTGTTGGAGGGAGGGTGAAATTTCCTGGGGGGCCGGGCTCCCACATCCGCTCCCCTTTGGGTGACACCAGCTGAGCTCCCCGCACCTGTTTCCAGGGGAGCCTGAACCCTGCGGCCACCCCTTGCCCAGGAAGCCTAGGACAGGGCAGCAGCACGGAAGGGGTTAAGGGCCTGTGGCAGTCTGGGGTGTTTGAAGTAGGGAAGGGAAGGGCCGAGTGGTTGGAGAGGCAGCTGGGCTGGGCTGGAGGAGTCCTCAGTCTCCTGTGCACCATGAGCAGCTCCCTTAGGCGGACTGAGGGAGCAAACCCTAGCACAGTGCTGGACTGGACCCTCATAGGGGCCACCCGGAGCAGCAGGTTTCCAGCCCTGAAGTCCCCAGCTGAGGACAGGGGCACTTCACCCACCTTTGGCATACCTCCCAGGTCTGGTGAGTTTCCTTCTTCCTGCTCACTCCCCAGTCCTCACTTGCAGGAGGCGGAGAGCCCGGACAGCCCAGGACAGGGCAGAGCAGTTCAGAGCTTCTCCAACCAACCTCCTGCATTTGCTTAGTTTTTCAATTAGAGACGTGTGTGTGTGTGTGTGTGTGTGTGTGCGTGTGTGCGCGCGCGCGTGCGTGTGCAAGAGTGCAAATAGGGAATCACAACAACAAATGTGGCCAGTGGTAATCAGCAGGATTATGTGCAGCACACGAAGGCAGAGCATGTGTGTGTGTGCGTGTGTGCGCGCGCGCGTGCGTGTGCAAGAGTGCAAATAGGGAATCACAACAACAAATGTGGCCAGTGGTAATCAGCAGGATTATGTGCAGCACACGAAGGCAGACCCTTTATATGTGTTCTCCTTTAACCCTCTTCAGCGCCACGGTGCTGACAGGCCTAACCCTTACCCTGAGCGGAAGGCTAGAGAAGTTGCTAGTACTGACCCGTGCCAGTTAAGAAGTAAAGTACAGGACTGGGGCTCAGAGTCAGGTTCACTGGACACCAAAGTTCATTATGCTGACTTTTGGTCTTTTTCTTCCTCAAGAGGTGTAGACTCGGAGAATGGCTCTGAAATCCTGAAACTGCGAGTCTCACACCTCAGCCAGTACCTTCTACTCACGGGGCTCCCCCGCCGCAGTCAGAACAGGGGTTTCCTGCTGTGCCCTTACCTGTAGCCATTTCCTGGGGACATAGTGGCCAAAGTCTGTGCAGGTGTGTCCTTCTGAACCTCAGGCCGTCACCGCACCCTCTGGCACAGCACCCGCATGCATGCCGAGAAGCTGGCAGGAGGTAGACCAGGACAGGTCGGTCTGGGCCCTTCCCATCCCTGTGCCTCTCATTTCCTGGACTATCCCGGTCCAAGCACACAGCTGTGGGCCAGACCAAGGAGGAAGGGAGGGGACAGGGTCCCTAAATTCACTCTGCAAATCAATGAAGAAACAATAAAGAGCTCCCATCTTTCCAGCACTCAGGCTGGATCCGGAGGACAGCACGTTAAAGCCCAGCTAGACACCTTAGTGAGACCCTTCTCAATAAACAAAATAAAAGGGATGGGGGGCATGGTTCAGGGGCACAGTGCCCTGAGTTTGATCTTTAGTACTGAAAAAAAATCCTCCTAGGGCACTACCATCTTTGTAATACAGTACGCTCGCAATCAGTGGGATTTTTTTTTAATACTAGGAAGTGAACCAAGTGTGTTCCACCACTGAGCTCTCTCCTCAGCCTTTTTTTTTTTTTTTGAGACAGGGTCTCACTCTGTAGTTGAGACTGACCTGGAACTCACTTATATTGCCCGGGTTGGTCTCAAACTCACAGCGATCCTCCTGCCTCAGCCTCCCGAGTGCTGGGATCACAGGCGTGCACCACTGCACCTGGCTTATGTGGATGTTTGAAGTGCCTGTTGGCTAATTTGGTAGAGCAGGATTGGATTAGAGAGAGTATGATTGGCCAGGGATGCTGGGATGTCTTTCCACCTCTGGACTTCCAGAATTAATAGTAGAGCAGTACATCTGCCTGGGGTCCAGGATGCATGTGGGACCTTCTTAGCAGTCAGCCAGAAGCTGGCCTGCGAGATAGCATCGCTCCCACCTGCTGCGCCCTCACGTTTGTGTGAAAGCCCTCCAGGGTCCTCTGCTCCGTGTCTGGCCCTGGAGGAGCTAAAGCAGTGTGAAGGAGTCCTCTGCATCTTCTACCTTGGCTCTTGTTTTTTGAGGTTGTGCTGTTCTCTGGCAGTTAACAAGAAAGCCAGAAAGAGAAGGGTCCCAGGGTTCATCCCGAGGTTGGGTGCCGATGCTCAGCAAGGCAGGCTGAGGGGTGGCTATGCTGGGGCGCTCCTGCCATAGAAGGGGACAGGTAGGAAGGCACCGAGAGGTTGCTGGTGACTTCTTCCCCAAGGAGTAAAGCAGCTCTGCTCTGCCCCTTTTCAGGCTCTGAGCTATGAATGTTTTTTTTCTGTGGGTTAAATTTGTAGCCATCAAAAGTGTTCCCAGGACCAGGAGCCGCACGGAGAATGCAGGGGCTGTTTCCTCCCGTCTCTCCCTTCCCCAGCCCTTATTATCTGGCTCTTCTGGGTCTTCTCCATTATTGGCTCCCTTGGGAGACCTAGGACCCCAGAGCCAGCTGCAGGAAGCCCCAGCCTTTGAAAAGGACAGCCAGCAGCTGGATGTAGCGCTGCACATGTGTAATCCAACACTCAAGAGGCTGAGGCAGGAGGATCACTGCAGGTCAAGGCCAGCCTGGGCTACACTGTGAGGCCCTGTTTCAAAACAGAAAGAGAAAAGGCAAAAAAAGGGCCAGCAGCCTTGGCCCTGACCTGCAGTTCCGAGCGGGCTGGCGGCTCTCAGGGTGCTGCGCCAGTGTGTGTGGCAGCAAGTGTCACCCGGGCCGGCCTTGCTATCACTCCATTCAGATTTCTGAGATGACACAGAAGAGAAAGCCAAATTTCATTTCACTCCTCTTCGGTCCCCATCTAATTGCTTCTGGAAGCTGCTTCCTTTCTTTGGCAGGGGTCAGGGAGCAGGATGAATGCCAGTGTTGCTGGATTTCTTTCAAAGTTTCGCCTCTTGCTCTTTGGGAGCTCAGACTCTCCAGTGCGCGGATTGGCCCGAAAGCTGCTCTCCTCCCCAGTTCCC